AGATAGGCTAGAGAGGTTGGGAGTGAGGTGGAGGGTGAGGAAGGGGAGGAGAAGGAGGTGCTTCACTACAAGAAATTTGTTCATTGATAGCGCTAAAAATATGCTATCTTACGTTATAGATAGCGAATTCACAAACGCTATGTTCTCGGCAGCTATAGTAGGTATCACCCATACAAAAGCATTTTTTGTCGTGCTATTATAAGTCCTTCTAGTATAGCACTAATCGAATGCTTTAATATAATTTTTTATAACTCATAATTTTTGCTATATTATATTTTTGTGTAGCAATTTTTATGTGCTACATTATAAAATGATGAATTGCAAAATTATTTTAAATCTATAAATTTAAAATCCAAATAATTATATGCTACAAAACCAATTTGTTGAAAGCACGTTTCTTTTCATAGATCATCAAAAAATACATAATTGTAATTTTACAAAATAGTTCAGCATTTAACACCATTTGTTATAAAAACAAAGGTCATAAACAACGTCATAAGTACTGCAATTCAGATGGACTAAACAAAGAACTCCATTGGTTTGCTCTTTCCCTCCCTCCAAGGACTTAGGATGATGTCTCATTCCAAGCAATTCTCATTTCACTGCCTTCTCTATATCCTCTGCAGTTCAGTTCTCTTTTTGAAGTTGGATGTCTTTGTATGAGTAAAAGCAAGTGACTTTCTCAATTACTTCTACAAGATAATGGCTAGAAAACCGTGAGAAAAAGAGGGAACCAGAGATTCATGATGGTCTTTTTAGCATCAGACTTCAAAGACAATCCAATGACCTAAACAGCTTCTGTTGTAGCTTATTCACCAGCCTTAAAAAAAATATTAAAAGAAACTTGCCTTAGCCTTCTGGACCATGCTTCCTTTGTTCTTGTCTTTCATTCCCACAGTCAACAACGTTAACACCTCTGTTGGCAAACATGGAACAAAGGGAAAACAGATTACTGAATTATGATTTACAAAAAATAAACGTTGATGATAAGAAAGGAAATTTTACTTACTCTTCTATGTTGCTAGTCCATTGTGCTTCATGATCGTAGAGATTGTTACCACATTTGTGATTGCTAAATACACAAAAGATTAGATTATACGTATATAACACACAAGACGAGAAACAGATCTAAACAAGATTAAGTGATAGTAAGAATCTATACCCATTCCAGGTATCACTCAAACTCCACTTCAAAAGCCTTTCTTTATCTCCTGCTTTCTCAATGAATCCAAGCACATGAGAGTACAATTACTAGCTAGGACTAGTATTAACCTTTTATCCCTTCACTGTCAAAAACAGAACCCATGTAAGTTAAAAAAAAATAACGTGTGTATGAAATAAAAATGTAGTAGCTAACCAGAGAAACCCAAAACTTGTGACTTAGACAACCAAAACTTGCAAATTTAGAAACCAAAACCTGAAAATTCATAAACTAAAACCTGTAACAGAAAATCAAAACCTACAGCCATCAATCTGGAAAGCTATTTCCACTTTCACAATCATCAGAAGCCATAAAAAACAGACTCCAATAAAGGATCAAGTATGAAACATTACCATTAACATTACAAATCTGTAGAGTAATCGTTATCTAAGTCGCAACAACCTAGACTAAAGTAACCAAATTAAATTCTTAAAGATCACATCCTAACAAATCTTAATAGAGTACACATGAACCATTTGAAGCAGCAATGAGAAAACGAGAAAAGTAACGACATCTTAATATAGTAAACATGAACAATTGCAAACATTTTTCAAAGACTGCACATATATACCAAAGAGGAGACATTGCGACAGTCCATAAATAAGGCATGGTTTGCTTGAATCCTAAGAACTACGTGAGTAAAGACTCCATCATGTTCATTGAAAAAAAAACAAAGAAAAAGCGGAAAGACAGACCTCTCTTGGTTATTTCTTGAGCTTTGCTCTCTTGCCACTCTCACTAAATGGAAAAGAGCTCTGGAAGTATTTGAGGATTCATTGTATCTGGGAAACAAGTAAGATATTAGAGTAGAAAAAGGGAGAGTTCTATGATGTATGAAAATAGATATGTAAAAACTCACTAGAAGAACTCGATGGAGACTTTTTGCTTTCTAAATCGAAATCATTATCTCACTGCTAAATCAATCTAACCCAAATTCATCTACAATTGCTAATAAATCTAGTGAATCCTAACAAAATCGTACATATGGAGCCGAGAGAAAGAGAAAGACGGGAGTCGGAGGGAGAAGGATTAAGCAATTGATCGAGAAACCTTTCAGCTACGAAGAACCAAGCGACGAAGATGGTTTGGGTTTCACCTACGTTTCAGCCATCGAAATTAAATTTATGGTTTAAGGCTATCTCAGACCACCGACGAAGATGGAGACTGAAGATTTCATCAAATTGAAGAAGAATAAGATAAATTTGGGGATGAAAGCGAGGGTGACAAAGAGATAATGGATCTGAAATCTGAAGCGAAACTGATAAAATCTAATAGATCTAGGGTTGCATAATCAGAGGAAGAGAGTAAGCGAGAGAGGAGAAAAGAAGAATAGAGAGGTATAGGAGGAGAGAACGATGAAGGAGAAGAAGATAGAAATTAGGGTTGTCTCTTAATAATTAAAAAAAAAAAAAAAAAAAAATTTTGCTAAAGTGTTAAGCGGTTTTTGTGAAATATTTGCAAAGTTTTGGCGGTCATAAGTGATTCTACGTCTCTTCTTTGCTATTATAGGGCTTAGCATTTTTCAAATGCTACGATATAGTTACAAATCCCTCGATATCATCTTTAATAGCATTTGCAAAATCCGTGCTATCCTAATATGCTATCAATGCACACTTTTTTTGTAGTGTTTTGGAGTTGCTGCATCTGGGACATAGGGCATTTTTTTTTTTTTTCACTTTAAATTTCCATTAATTAAAAAGCAAAATACAAGGCCAAAGCCCAAGACGGCAACAAGCCCAAACAGGGAGAAACAAACCTTCTCATCCTAGAAACCTACAAGAACAAAAGAACAGGAAACAAACAGAGAAAAACCCGAACAAGCTACTGAAAGACAGCAAACCAAGTAGCAAGGAGAGTTAAAACCGGAGGAACACAAATTTGAGCTCTGGAAAGGGGATCAAGCCGCGCACGAATGGTCTGCTTATTCTCCTTAACGATGGAGGCCGCGTTCCTATGAGTAGTCGAGTGAATACGCTGATTCCTCTCGCGCCAAATGAGGTAGATGGAAGCTTGGTGAATGAGCTTGAGGATGATAGTTATCTGCTTGTTCCGAGAGGCAGAGTGAACCCAAATGAGGGACATAGGGCATTGTTGTTGCCTGGAGGGAGGGATGGACGAGGGAATGCTTCGTTTAAGTTTAAGTCGGGGATGAATAAAGTTCCTAGGATTGCTGAAAATGGTGAAGAAGGTCCTGAAATGTAAAGTGTGTATTTTGCTTCATTTTGAGTTGGTTTTAGTTTAGTGAGTTGGTTACAAGCTTTGGTTTGGGACCAACGTGTAAAGTTTGAGACTTAATGATGCAGCGCATATACAAGATTCGAGGACGAATCTTTCTTGGCCGGCGAGACCTGATGCAGCGTGATATTTGGATAATTCCAAATATCTTCTATGATTATCTTCTATTTATTTATTATTTGTATTTTAATTAGTTTAGATTATTTTAGCGTTTATCTAGGGTTTTGGGTTTTATTATAAATAGCCACTTAGGCTTATTGTATTAGAGGAAGTTGTTATTGAATTGATTAATCGAAAGATTTAAAGAGGTTTTTAAAAACCACTGTGAAGAGTATTCACAAACCCTAAGAGCTTTTGCGAAAGCCCTGAGAGGAGGACTCTCAAACCCTAGTTTCCGGGTATTCTCAGAATCAACGGATCTAGTTCTATCCCTAGAAGCTTCCGCTTCATCAGTTGGTATCAGATTCCAGTGCTTTAATTTCTCAATTAAAGCCCGATCCTTTACTTTCGACGACTACTCAATGGCTCCTCGAAAGAATAACGAAGATCAACATGAAGAATTTCGCCAAACCTTGGAGAATTTCACTCAGGGGCTGCAAGAAGCTTTGCAACTCGCTGTTGAAAACGCATTAACAACGGTGCTACAAACTCAGCAAGGTAATAGACGGGAACGGCGTGGTGAGTTTGAGGAAGAGAACGATGATGAAGAAGTTGACAATCTGTTTGCAAATCCCATCCGTCAAGAACGTGACCAACAGATTCGTCTACGCGACAACAACGTCAACAACAACAACAACAATAACACTCCTCGCTGGGAATCCGGATTCAGATTGGAAATTCCAGAATTTGCAGGTGGCCTTAAAGCGGAAGAGTTTCTCGATTGGCTGAATGTGGTTGAGGAAGTTTTGGATTTTAAGAAAGTTCCTGATGAGTTTCGTGTCTCACTTGTGGCTACACGATTTAAAGGTCGAGCTATGGCTTGGTGGACTCAGCTTAAGGAATCTCGTCGACGCTCCGGCAAGGATAAAATTGATTCATGGGAAAAATTGAAGAAATATATGCGTCGAGGATTTCTCCCGTATAATTATGAGAGGACATTGTACACTAAGCTGCAAAACTTACGACAAGGGTCACGTACGGTAGATGAATATGCGTTGGATTTCTTTGAGATGACGGCACGCACCACGCTTGGAGAAACTGAAGATCAACTTGTTTCTCGATTTATTGGTGGCCTCCGTTCTCAGCTGCAGATTCCATTACAACAGTTCAATCCAACATCGGTTTATGAAGCACATCAGCGGGCTAATGGAATGGAGCTTCAGTACAAGTCCAATTGGAATCCATCCTCATCTCGTAATCGTTCCCTTCTGCCACCTCCTAGCGAATCCAACTCTGTTCAGGCCTCAGATGCTGCAGCTCCACGCACTAACACGTCACGACCGAGTGCTCCACCTGATTCAATTGCAGCTTCTCGTCCACCACAAACCGGAGCATTGCGTTGTTTCAGCTGCGGCGAGTCTGGTCATCGACAAACAGCATGTCCGCACCAGACTAAGCGGGGGATGTTGACTCAGGAAACAGAGCAAGATGGCGAGCCTCGATATGATGATTACGGGTCAGATGAAGAAGAGCCAAAGGATGAATTTATTTTTGGTGACACAGGTCATGCTTTGGTACTCCGCCGTAATTGTTTACTTCCTCGAGCCACAGAGGAATCATGGTTACGCTCTAACCTATTTCGTTCTACTTGCACAATCAATGGCAAAGTTTGTAAGCTGATAATTGATTCGGGAAGTTGCACAAACGTGATATCAAGAGAGGCAGTTCGTAAGCTTGGTCTCAAGTATGCAGCTCATCCATTTCCATACAAGCTCGCTTGGTTAAATACGGGTTCTGAAATTTCTGTTTCTAAGCAAGCATTAGTAGCATTTTCTATTGGGTCATACAAGGATTCAGTTTCTTGTGATGTGGTTCCAATGGATGCTTGCCACCTGTTGTTAGGTCGCCCTTGGCAGTTTGATCGTGATACTACACATAAAGGCAGAAACAACACTTATAGCTTCACTTTTGGGGGTCGCAATGTTACATTAGTGCCATCAAAGGAGGAGACAGAGTTGTTACCAGCTGTTACAAGTGCGACTGAGATGAGTAAAACGACTGCTCCACAATCGTTATTAGTGGTTCCTAAGGCTGATTTTGAGGCCCAACTTGGTGATACTACGATCGTGTGGGCATTGATCTCAGCTCCGCCGCCTTTAAGGGAAGTTTCTCCTACTCCAAGTGCTTTTCACGAGTTACTTAACGAGTTTAGTGATGTGTTTCCAGATGATTTGCCTCATGACCTACCTCCATTACGGGATATTCAACACCGGATTGATTTGGTTCCAAACGCAGTTCTTCCCAACCGGCCTCACTACCGCATGAGTCCACAAGAACATGATGAACTACGTCGCCAAGTCGAAGAGCTTCTCGCTAAAGGACATGTTCGTGAAAGTTTGAGTCCTACGGCTGTTCCGGCGTTACTTATTCCAAAGAAAGACGGCTCGTGGCGGATGTGTGTTGATAGTCGCGCCATCAACAAAATCACTGTCCGATATCGCTTCCCAATTCGTCGTTTAGACGATTTGCTTGATCAGATTGGTTGCGCCTCTATTTTCTCCAAGCTGGATTTAAAAAGCGGTTATCACCAAATTCGGATTCGACCGGGAGATGAATGGAAAACGGCATTCAAAACGCGTGAGGGTCTTTTTGAATGGATGGTGATGCCCTTTGGTCTTTCTAATGCTCCTAGCACGTTTATCCGTGTGATGAATCAAGCTTTGCGTCCTTTCATCGGTAAGTCTGTTGTTGTCTATTTTGACGACATACTTGTGTTTAGCGCAGATTTATCAAGTCACCTACGACACCTTTCGGAGGTACTCCACGTCTTGCGCCGAGAGAAACTTTTTGCTGCTAGTAAGAAGTGTGTGTTCGGCACGTCACAAGTCTTGTTTTTGGGTTATCTCGTCTCTAACAAAGGCCTTGAAGTGGATCCGAGTAAAGTGGAAGCAATTAAATCTTGGCCGACACCAACGTCAATCAGTGATGTCCGTAGTTTTCATGGTCTTGCCTCGTTTTACAGACGCTTTGTCCATCATTTTAGCAATATTACGGCTCCTTTAACCGATTGTATGAAGGGCTCGTCATTTGTGTGGACTCCTGAGGCTAATGCAGCGTTTGAAAGCATTTAAGAGAAGCTGGTTTCTACTCAAATTTTGGCACTCCCTAATTTTGCAGAAATTTTTGAATTGCATTGTGATGCTTGTAAATTCGGAATTGGTGCAGTGTTGAGTCAGCGGGGTCGTCCCATTGCATTCTTCAGTGAAAAAATCGCAGGTTCTCGGGCTCGTTATAGGACGTATGATGTTGAATTTTACGCCATTGTCCAAGCCATCAAACATTGGCGCCATTACTTGTTTCATCAAGAATTTATTCTCTATACGGATCATGACGCTTTGAAACATTTAGGGAGTCAAGATAAGATTTCTGCTCGGCATGCTTCTTGGATTGCTTATCTTCAACTATTCACATTTGTCATTAAACATCTGTCGGGTCGTACTAACAAAGTGGCGGATGCTTTGAGTAGATGGCAGTCACTCCTTGCGACGCTTCAAGCTTCAGTACCCAGGTTTACCACGTTCGCCGATCTCTATCCAACCGATCCGTTCTTTGGTCTGATCTTTGATGATTTGCAACACCGACGGTCTTCAGATTTTATTTTACAAGATGGTTTTGTGTTCTTTGGTAATCGTTTATGTGTGCCGGAGTGTAGTTGGCGCTTGAAGATTATTGAAGAATTTCATAACGAAGGTCATGTTGGTCGTGATAGGACTCTTCAATTAGTCACTGATGCTTATTTTTGGCCGACTTTGCGGCGTGATGTGGCGCGTTTTGTGGAACGATGTGTACGGTGTCAAAAGTCTAAGGGCCATGCGTCTAATAGTGGTCTTTATATGCCACTCCCTATACCTACTCAACCGTGGACGGACATCAGTATGGACTTCGTATTGGGATTGCCTCGTACTCAGCGTGGTCATGATTCCATTTTTGTGGTCGTTGATCGTTTTTCCAAGATGGCACATTTTATTCCGTGCAAGAAGACAACGGATGCTGTTCAAGTGTCACAATTTTTCTTTCGCGAAATCTACCATCTTCATGGGCTGCCTTTGTCAATCGTGTCAGATAGGGATTCTCGATTCTTGAGTCATTTTTGGCGATCTTTGTGGAAGTTGCTTCGTACTAGTCTCGATATGAGTTCGGCTTATCATCCGCAATCTGACGGACAAACAGAGGTGACGAATCGGTCTTTGGGTGATATGTTGCGTTGTTTGGTTGTTGATAATATCAAGAGTTGGGACACGATCTTGTGCAAGGCTGAATTTGCTCATAATCACGCAGTGAACCGTAGTACATTGTTCAGCCCTTTTCGTATCATTTATGGCATTGTTCCTCGTGGACCAATTGATCTTGGTGTCGCTCCGGATGCTACACGTGATCATGGACAAGCAATTGATTTTGTGGCACATCTGTCCTTTCTTCACGCTCAAGTTCATGAAAATTTGAAGACTTCTTCTGCTAAGTATAAAGTCGATGCGGATCGCCATCGTCGCGATGTTCATTTCTCTGTGGGTGACTTAGTGTGGGCTGTGTTGACGAAGGACAGGTTTCCCGCTCGTACTTACAACAAACTCAAGTCTCGTAAGATAGGTCCCTTGGAAATCTTAGAGAAGATCAATGCTAATGCGTATCGTGTCAAGCTTCCTCCGGATGTGCGTTCGTCGGATGTTTTCAACGTTAAGCATCTCTTCCCGTACGTTGCTCAAGACGAAGTTGAAGATTCAGGGCCGAATCTTTTTCTACCCCGGGTGACCTGATGCAGGGCATCGTTCCTTCTTGGCTTTGGCTTTCGTTCTGGTTTTTAAGTCATTTAACTTTATTAAGAGTTTGGTATTTTTCTTTTATTTTAGATTGAGATAAGTCTTCTAGCTAGATACGACTTGATCAACAAGTTATTTTGTTTCCAATTCCTTAGAGGATTAGGATTGGAGTTTTATTATATATAGTCGCTTGCCTAGGCTTTGTAAAGGCACGACATTATTGAATTATAATCAAAGAGCTTTTCAACTCTTAAACCCTTGTTGCGGCTAGAACTCGAGAGTTCTCAACGGAATAAGAAGACAGAGATTCTTGGGCATTCTCAGACTAAACAAGTTTCTTTGTGTTACGTATTTTGGTCTACACCAGCTCTGATTTGCCTCATCATTTGGTATCAGAGCTGGTGCTTTGATTTCTTAATCAGAGCTCGATTCTGTTTGTCATGATGTTTGGTAGCATCTATCCTATCACAGGCGAAAGCCTCTTTTCTGAAGAAGAAGAAAACCATGAGATCTACAGAGAGATCTATGGTGATCCAATCTATGACACATATGCAGATGATGTCATACATATTGATTACGTTTTCCCAGAAGATGCTTTTGAGAATCTGACTCGTGCAAAATCTGGGCGAAATCGTATCCGTGCAAAATTAGGGTTTGAAAGCACCAGTTGGTCTACACTTAAAGTATTAGAGTTTCTGAAATGGATTCTGTTTCAGGACCATCATGGACTTTAAATTTTTAGCATATATAATATACTTAACATGGAGCAAAAAATAGTTTAATTAAAGAATAATCACCATCTACACAAAATGTAACAAATATGCTACCAAGCCTCTAATGCCAAATAATGTTTTAAGCTGTATACATTGCCAGAGAAAATAAAAAAAAGTTAACCACCAAATTAAGTTACTAATACTACCCATCATCCCAAATAATCAACCAATTAAACTGAACACTACAAATTCTATATGTATATATTTTTAGAAGAAAAAAAACTCAAATGGACATGAGTAAAAATAAATTAAAAAGTGTCAGAAATTCCAAAGTTTATTTACAGTTATTAAAAGATATTTCTATTACACTCCTTTTTATTTTGTTAATATTAGCGTAAACTATTTCAAGTTCATATTTATTTTTTCATATAGGTTGTATGTTAAAACGTATAGAAAATTCCCAAAAAAAAAGAAAACATAAAAAGATTTTTGTAAAATTATTAAAATTTATTAATATACCGGGCGTAGCCCGGATTTTCCTCTAGTACTTGAGATAAAAGCCCATTTACCACGTCGTTTGTAGTGTGCCTGAAATGGAACGGCAATTTGGGGCGATCGCTAAAGACTGTTAATTCATTTTGATTGTTAGAATTTTTGCTGTAAAAATTTTGACTATATAAATTTTATAACCGATTGGTAAAAACTATGACTATAAAAATTACGATT